AAGAACAAGTTTTAGGCTTAAGGATTGCTTGTGCCTCAAATTCCTGGGCTCAAGCGATCCTCCTACCTCAGCCTCCTGAGAAGCTGGAACGACAGACACACACCACCATGCCCGATTAAATTTTCTTTTTTTTGTAGAGATGGGGTTTTGCTTAGGCTGGTCACAAACTCCTGACCTCAGGCAATCCTCCCACCTTTGCCTCCCAGAATGCTAGGACTATAGGTGTTAGCCACCACACCTGGTCTATATCTATACCTTGATTGCCGTAGTGGCTATCCTAATGCATATATTTGTCAAAACTCATTGAAATGTTCACTTAAAAGGGTAAATTTTACAGCATGTAAATTACACTTCAATAAACATAACTAAAAAAAAAGTTATCCCAAGTTAAAAAAATTATATATTTCACTATTGACGTTCTACAATTTATACAAGCTTTTGGATTTTGTTATTTAAAAAAAATAATCTTCCTTTCCTTGCTGTTGGAAGGGCAGTTGACACAGTAGCTCTGGAGGGGAGATGAGGCTTGTGGAAGCCCTAAGCTAAGGAGGGAATCCATGTGGTAGAGAAATGGCCAAATGCGTTGAGTCAGAGCCTGAGAGTCAAGGCAGGAGGGGCAAACTGGCAGAGGGTACTGGGGTGCAAACAGAGTGAGGAGGATGTCTTACAATGGAAGCAACCCACTGCGGGGTATCAGAGCCTGCGTGTGGTGAGAAATGTCTGTAGACAGTGGGAAGATCAGTATCGGGAGTCAGAGCCAGAGCAAGCTGGAGAGAGTTTCACTGTATTGAGGCATTCTGGTATGGACTCTTAGATCCTGACAGGGGTAGGGGGATGGGAGAGATGGAATGAAGAAGCTAAGCCCCAGCAGGAAGAGAAGTGAGTGGTGGTGAAGATGGAAGACTGAACAAATAAGTAAATACATTAAGGATAATAATGGAAACCAGATTTCTGTCAGAGAACACAATAATATGAAAAAGGAGAAAACGAGAATGGACCCTGGATTATTTGACTTAAATAGGAGGTATCAGTGTGTGAATTCATAGTTTTCAATACACGTAGATAAGTAAAGAAATAAATATAGATGTCAATGTGTATGTATATACATACATATATTCCCCAGCTCCAACCATTAAGACGGGCTGGGAGTAGTAACAATCCATCAGCAATAAATACATTAGCACTGAGATCTTAGCTTCTAAATGTCATTCTCCATTAAAAGGAACCAGGGATCCCTGGAGAAAGGGCTGACTCCAGGGTCAGGGAAAGTACAAGACAAGCCGGGAACTCCTTCTCGTGCCAAAAAAGTAAAAAGACATTCTCAAAGAATAATGGGGACATGTGGTTAAGAACACAGAAGCCAGCTTGAATAGCTCCCATTGGCCAAATGACAAACAATTTGAATATCAAAATAAATAGTGCTAAGGTCTGAATATTTGTCTCCCCCCTCAAAATTCATCATTAAAATCCTAACGCCCAAGGTAATGATATTAGGAGGTGGGGCCTTTGAGAGGTGATTAGGTCATGGGGATGGAACCCTCATTAATGGGATTAGTTCCCTTATTAAAGAGACCCAAGAGAGCTCATTTGCCCCTCAGGCCATGTGAGCTTAAAGTGAGAACATGGTTGTGAGGAAGCAGGCCCTCCCTAGACACCCAATTTGTCTCAACCTTAATCTTGGACTTACAGCCTCTAGAACTGTGAGAAATAAATTTCTATTGTTTATAAGCCACCCAGTTTGAGGTACTTTTGTTATAGCAGCTGGAACAGATTTGAGACAAATAGTAACAGAATATAATCCACTAAAAAAACAGAAAACCATGAATCTATGTAGATGTCAATGAATAAATGACATTAAGAGTTTGTTGAAGAACAAAATGTTTACATAGTTTCGAAGTACTCCTCACAAAAACAATTAACTATTAAGTATTAACTTTACAGTAGAGAAGCCTGGCAGACATTGCTTATATCAAGTAATTGAAGTGAAAATCACCAATAATGAGACAAAGTAAACTTGTACACCACATGACAGGATGCAATGATAATCAGTTCTGTGATATACCCTGCCCAAGTACATAATAACCTACATGTATCTAATCATGAGGAAACAGACAAATCCCAAATTAAGGAGCATTCTGCAAAACAACTGACCTGTAATTGTCTAAAGTGTCAATCAAGGTCATGAAAGAAGATGAAGGAACTATTCCAAATTGAAGGAGACTAAAGAGACATAACAAATGAATGCAACACATGCTTCTGAACTGGATCCTTTTGCCAATAAAGAGATGAACAGCACAATCAACAAAACTTGAACCAGTCTGAGAACTAGACAGAGCACTGTATCAGTGTTAATTTCCTATTTTGGTGATTGTACTGTGAACATAAAGAGGAATATTCTTGTTTGTAAAAAATGCACACTAAAGCATTCTGGGGTGATAGGGCATCAGGTCAGCAGCTTCCTCTCAAATTGTTGTTGGCGGGGAATTCTTTGTACCATACTTGCAACTTTTCTGCAAGTTTGTTACTATTTCAAAATTGTTTAGAAGTGTGGGAAGAGGGGCAATGTCCTTAAAAACTAAAGAAGGGGCAGGGCCCAGCAGCTTATGTCTGTAATCCTAGCACTTTGGGAGCTGAGGTGGGAGGACTCCTTGAGGCCAGGAGTTTGAGACCAGGCTGAGCAAGAGCAAGAGCAAGAACCCCATCTCTAACAAAAAAAAAAGAAAGAAAGAAAAAGAAAAATTAGGTGGTCCATGCCTGTAGTCTCAGCTACTCTGGAAGCTGATGCAGGAGAATCACTTGAGCCCAGGAGTTTCAGGTTGCAGTGAGCTACGATGATGCCACTACACTCTAGTATAGGTTGACAGAAAGAAACCCTGTCTCAAAAAAACAAAAACTAAACAAGGTTTAAAAAAAAAAAATTGTGATTCACCACACTTAATCTTGGTAGGAAAGAGACATCAGACTATGCAAACTTACTAGGAGATAATACAAAATCCTGCTGCCAGAAGATACTTTAAATATACCCCACCCCTTCTCTTAACAACCGACCTTCATCAGATCATGAATGGTGGGCGATAAAAGAATATGAAAGGCTACCACTAAAGGAGAGTAGGTTCTTAGGGGAAGAATAATGAAAGGCAGTCGACCAAGAGTGGGTAGAACAATGGTATTCTGGTGCTACCAATGGCTATTACCATCAGCGAAACACAATCTCAGCATCTTCTCCGGAAAATGAAGGGGGCTGTAGAGCTCCTTGCAAATGTCTAGAATTACCATGAAATAGAAGTGCTTCCTCTTGTTCTCTGAGAATTCGTATTGCTAAAATTAAAAAAAAAAAGTGCTTCCCCAGATTAATTTGCTACATTATGCTTAGCTATATAGTAACAGAGAAGAATATAAACACAAAAATAACCGTGTCTAAACCCAGAATTCTTCAGTTGTGGAAGTCCATCAATTAGAGTGTAAAATGCAATCCGTTTGCCAAACTGTTCCTCACGGAGAAAATTTTGTAACGAATCAAAAAAAACAATTAAAACACCCATTAAAGTGAAACAAGATCATCTTCAGCGGTCAGCTGGCTGTCCTTACTTAAAAGGCATTCTTGTCTTTCTGAAATGCCTGTCACATTTGTCCTGAAAGAACAGGGAGCATTTCCTAGAAATGTTTAAAGGTGCAAAGAATCCTTTCCCCTTCCCCGGTACCACGCATTCACTGGGGCGGTCACTAGGCCCCCAACAGCGCGAGGGTGAGGTAGTACCGGACTCTCGGCACTTCCTTTCGGAGAGGACAGCCCCTTGCGTCACTCGTTACTCACTCAGGATGCAGGGCAGAAGTTTATCCCCGAGGAACTTAGCACAGTTGGCTCCCGCCCTCCCAGCCCTGCGGTCCTGGGCCCAAACTCAGGGCACTGTCCCCGGTACCCGGCCATCTCCACAGACAGGGTCGCGGAACCCAGACTCGCCCTTGGCTAGCCCAGCTGGTCCGCCCACGGCCTGGGCAGACGCGGCCTTTTCCCTCTTCCTCCCGTCGTGCTGGTCCCTCACGCCCACCACGAGGCTCAACCCCGCCAAGAAGGCCGGACGCCGACCGCCGGCTCCTCTGCGGCCCAGCCCGGCCCTCCCCGCCTCCTGGCCCCGACGCCCAGCCCCGCTGAGCCCACTGGACAGTGGCCGGGGGGCGGGGAGGCGGGGGCGGCGCCCGCCCCACACCCTTACCTGGCTTCTCGTGGTCGTAGCCTACCACGATGAAGTAGTCGGCCAGCCGGGCCATGACCGCCACCGCCGCGCCCGGGAAGTGGGTCCCCGTCGCCGCCCTCGCCGCCGCCGCCCACCCGGCCCGGGAGGGCTCAGCATTTTCCCTGCAGCAGCAGTAGCGGCAGCGGCGGCACTTCAGCCATGTTTGACAACCGAGGCGCGCTCTGCGCCTGCGCGGCGTCTCGAGCCCGCTCCTCCCCACCCCCACCCGCGCTGGCTCGGTAGCCCTCAGCTGGGGCGGCGAGCCCACCCCCACCCTGGGCGGGAGGCTAAGATTTGCCCGGCTTGTGAAGTGAGCGGCGGGGCGTGTTCCTGCCACGCGCCAGCACCGCAGCCGCTGGAGGTGGTTCACTTTGAGGCCTGGCTGCCCCTTCACGGCCTCCCTCCCTCTCCCTATTTTTCCTAAAGCAGGGGTCCTTCCTTCCGCCTTCGCTATTCTTTCCTTTTGGATTTAAGAGAATGGACAAGGAGAGTTAGAAAGTTTGCTTCTTCGCCTGCTCACCACCACCACCAAAAATGAAATTCTCCCGCCCTCGGCTAGAAGCAAGGAATTTGCACCGCCAGGGCTTTTGCTGCACGTTTCCTGTTTATGTTGTGCAGATGGGAATTTTAGAAACATGCCACCAAGCAGGCGGGGGAGGGAGAGGCTTTTGCGCAATCCTCAAAGGCGCCTCGGGTTTCAATGCTGGGTGGGCCGGGGGCGGTCGGCCTGGGCTTCCCCCGAGCCCGGGGAAGCCAGATTCCACCGAGGAACGCGGCATCCCCGGGATCCTCCTGAACTGGGCTGGTCTCTCCCTAGGGAGCCCCGCCCGCCTCGCCTTGCTTCCCTTGCAGCGGTCCCAGGGCTCTTGCAGCCAGAGTAGGTGGTAACTTCCAACTTCCCTGCTCAAACACAAAATAAAATGAATTGGTGGATTTTATCATCCAGTCTCGGGATTATCTAAGTCGCTTGCTTTTTTGTTGAACCTCCTGTTGATCGTTTCGAATTTGGCTGGTGCGACATTTAGAAGAGCTTACTGTGTCATTCGTTAATAAAAATGAAGATTTAATAGTAGAATATGTACACATGGTAAAGCAGAGATTTGGAAATCAACATGGTTTGGAAGTTCTCTTCGTGGTTGCTTATCACTGCTCACCATTAATTGAGGGTTTGATCCTTCACATTATAAGAGCTCTTAGCAAAGTGTCTAGAGTGTAGTAGGTGCTTAACCAATATTTTTAATGAGTAAGTGAGCGATTTCCCCCCAACTACCAGCAAGAAGCTGCAATGGCTCCAACTCTGAACTGAAAGTCAGGAGAGTTGCCATCTCAGCTCCTGAAGATTTATTATACTGTAATTGACTATTTCCCCTTTCTGCGCCACACTCTTCATCTACAGATTGAAAGGGTTCGGCTGCACTGGAAGAACTGAAACTGAAGGAATACTTTAACTTTAGGATCTCTGTAAATTGATAATGGTCAAACTGAAACAGCTTAAAAATTGCAGGGGTGGAGGGAAGATAGATTGATCTCTAAAATAATTAAATTTAAAAAAACCACCTCAACCACACCCCATGGAGAAATCTCTCTGTAACTTCCCTGAGAATTCATCATCCAATTTGATCACTTTCAGTAAAGAGTAATCTTACTTCCTTGGGAGGCTGGATTAAACAGCCCTATTGTTAGAAAGTTCTTCCTTATTATGTCAGAGTTGTCCTACTGTAAATTCCCCTGATTCTGCTCTCTGGAACTATATAGAAAAAATAAAATCCACTTTTGTATGACACAGCCCTTTGGATTTTGAAGGCAGCTGTTTTTTTTTTTTTTTTTTTTTTTGAGACAGAGTCTCACTCTTTTTGCCTGGGCTAGAGTGAGTGCCATGGCGTCATCCTAGCTCACAGCAACCTCAAACTCCTGGGCTCAAGCGATCCTACTGCCTCAGCCTCCCGGGTAGCTGGGACTACAGGCATGCGCCACCATGTCCGCCTAAGTTTTCTATTTTTAGTAAATTTTAGTAGACGCTCTTGCTCAGGCTGGTCTCGAACTCCTGAGCTCAAACAATTCTCCCACCTTGGCCTCCCAGAGAGCTAGGATTACAGGCGTGAGCCACCGTGCCCGGCCTGAAGGCAGCTGTTATATTCCTTCCTGATTTTACTTTTTTTTAAAATTGGGATAGAATTTACATATCATAAAATTAACCATTTTAGAATGTATTTAAAATGGTATTAAGTACATTCACAATGTTGTACAACTACCACGTCTATCTAGTTACAAAACATTTTCATCACCCAAAAAGAACCCGACAACCATTAAGAAGTCATTCCCATTCCTCCCTTCCCCAGCCCCTGGCAACCACCAGTTGGCTTTCTGTCTGTATGGATTTGCTTATTATGGATATTTCAGAAAAATGGAATCATACAATATGTGACTTTTTGTGTCTGGGTTTTTTCATTTAGTATATTGTTTTCAACTTTCACACACGTTGTAGCCTCAGTACAATTTGTAGCATCAGGTTGAAGTATCAGTACTTCATTCTTTTTTATGGCTGAATAATATTCCATTGTATGTGTATACCATATTTTGTTTAGCTATTGATGGACATTTGTATTGTTTCTACCTTTTGGCATTGTGAATGGTGCTGCTATGGACATACATGTACAAGTATTTGTTTGAGTACCAGTTTTCAATTCTTTGGGGTATATTCCTAGGAGTAGAATAAGTGGATCATGTGGCAATTCTATGTTTAACTTTTTGAGGAGCCACCAAACTGTTTTCTATGGTGGCTGTGTGATTTTACATTCTTGCAATGTGCAAGAGTTCTAATTTCTCTTCATATTGGTCAACACTTGTTTTCCTGTTGTTTTTGTTTAACAAAACAAATAGATACTTTAGTGGTATTCCATTGTAGTCCTAATTTGTATTTCCCTAATGACTAATGATGTTGAGCATCTTCTCACGTGTTTATTGGCCACTTCTAAATCTTCTTTGGAGAAATGTGTATTCAAGTCCTTTGCCATTTTTATTTTTTATTTTTATTTATTTTTATTTCAGGATGTTATGGGGGTACAAACATTTTGGTTACAAGTAATGACTTTGCCTCACCCAAGCCAGGGCTAGAGGTGTGCCCTCCCACCATACAGTGTGCACAACTAACTCACCGTTAGTTGTGAGTTTACCCACCCCCACTCCCCCACCTGACTGACACCCAGTGAATGTTACTACCATGTGAGCACCTTAGTGTTGATCAGTTAGTACCAATTTGATGGCAAGTACATGTGGTGCTTATTTTTCCATTCTTGTGGTACCTCACTTCGAAGGATGGGCTCAAGCTCTATCCAGGACAATATGAGAGGTGCTAGATCACCATTTTTTTTTATTCTTTGCCCATTTTTTAATTATTTGTCTTTTTGTAGATGAGTTGTAAGAGTTCTTTATTCTAGATGCTAGTCCTTATCAGATCTGTGATTTGCTGATATTTTTCTCACTCTATAGGTTGTCTTTTCATTTTTCATTATCACAGCAACCTCAAACTCCTGGGCTCAGGCAATCCTCCTGCCTCAGCCTCCCAAGCACCTGGGACTACAGGCATGCGCCACCATGCCCGGCTAATTTCTCTCTCTATTTTTTTAGTTGTCTGATTAATTTCTTTCTATTTTTAGTAGAGATGGGGTCTCGCTGTTGCTCAGGCTGGTTTCGAACTCCTGACCTCAAACAATCCGCCCACCTCGGCCTCCCAGAGAGCTAGGATTACAGGCGTGAGCCACGGCGCCTGGCCTGGCCTCACAAAAGTTTTTTAATTTTGATGAAGTCTAATTTTTTAGCTTGTTTCGTATGCTTTTAATGCCACATCTAAGAATCCATTGCCAAATTCAAGATCATGAAGATTTACTCATGTTTTCTTCTAAGAGTTGCATAGTTTTAGCTCTTCTATTAATATTTAGGCCTTTGATCCATTTTGAGTTAATTTTGTAGTGCTAGGGGTCCCATTTTATGATACTTTTTAAATGTGTTGATTTTTATTTCACTTGCAAGTGTTGGTTTAAATTATTTTAACTTTTTTTTAAATCAAAATTTAGTTGTTTTTAAGCCTAGAATCAAATACGTTCTGCTTTTAGGCATATTCCATCTGTTAAGGTCATAAGTAGACTGCTAGTTCATTTGCAAATAGGCATATTGTAATATAATGATTTTGACATATCCCAGGTATTTGTAGAAAGGCACTGCAAGTTTGTATATATATAAGAACATATTTTGCATACACTGAAGCTGTGCTTCGCTTCTCAGGCAACAGCTGCCAGCCTGCTGAAATTGATAAGCCCTGATGAGGCAACCTGATTACTGAGGTTGGCTGAAGGCCAGACCATCTCCTAAGATAACCACCTTCACCTTTCACCAAAGAGAGAGGGAGTAAAGCAAGACCAGATTTGTTTTTCTGAAGACCGCAAGAGCAGGAAGTGAGGAAGGGTATGTAACATAGTAATGATGTGTACCTAGGCACCTAGCAGATGTCTGTCTTTTTTGCTTTAGAAGACAAAATGGAGCTGATTACCAGTGAGCAAGGCTTATCAGTGGTTGCCCCTAGTGGGCTATTGTGGGGTGAGTGGTCAATGTGTACAGTCATTTCAAGTGCTTGCTGTGGTTAGCCACTATAGTTCAAGGAGGGAGTATGAGAGTTAGACTTAACCAAACATCCACAGGCAGGGCAAGGGCCTCTTCACCTTGTCTCTACCAACCCATAACAAAGGAGACAAAGCAGCTGTGATGGAAAATTCCCTGATTCATTGCTACATCTTCAACCACTCAATTACCTAAGCAAGGATCTTAATGATTGTTATCCTTGACAGTTGCCTCTTAGCCCAGCATTCATCACTCAGTCCTATTGTTCCTAGTTCTCAAATATGTCCACTTCTCTCACCCTCACTGCCACCCCACTAGTCTGAGCCATTATCACCTCCTACTTCGATTATTGCAATACATTTATAACTAGTATCCCAGCTACATTGGTAGTCCCAGGCTTTCTATATAGGTAAAACTTAAGGACAGTAAGCAAGCTATTGAACCTGTCTTAAAATTAAACTTGTATAATAAACACACTATTTCTACCTTGAGTGTATGTTGGGGTACAGGGAAGAGGCTTCAGAGATGGCTGG